AATTCATTGGGATTACAGATCATTGACAAAAGTTCAAGCATTTAGTGTCTTCAGGCACAGTTTGGTCAAAGCTCTGGCTCCACTTCCCCATTATTCTCTTAGCTTCGCCCTTCTCCATGTGTTGGTCTTGGTGGCAGCAACATGGCTTCAACAGTTGCATCACCTCTAGATACATTGGTCAGAGGCAAAAAAGGACCATCTCTTTCAGTTTGCGCTTCTTAAGACTTCCCTAACCGCTCTCAGCAGACCTTCCCTCCTAGCTCATTGGCCAAACTGAGTCACATGCTCATTCCTAAGCCAATCCCTGGCAAGGAGAACAGGACCACCATGATTGGCTGGGGGTTAGGCCAAGGCCCACCTCCCTGCAGTACATGGTCCCCCAGAAGATCCTACATTTATCCCTTCCTCTCCAGTATCTCCAGTCTGAGTTCCATTCCATTCGTCTTCCCATCTTTCTAGACACCATGTTTCTTCCTTCCATCAAAGTTAGGTGGGCTCATCATTGGCAGAACTCAAAGGAAGTTACTGAGATGGGCAGAAGGGCTCCATATCCAGCTTCTTCCTCAGGATGGACAAAGGCACAGGATGGCAGAACCAGGACCAAGAAGGCAAAGTGCCAGACCAGAGATTCCTTGGAAGGGTAGTGCGCTCTCCACCAAGGGAATCGCTCAGGCAAAGGCGGATGTCCCTCTCTGAGTCAATGCAGAGGGGTGTCTCCTATTGGGAGTGAGTTTGGAATGGGGTTGTCCATGCATCCATTTATTTAGTCAACAAATATTTATTGAGCACATACTATATACTAGGTGCTGGGCTAAATACTGAGAATGCAGCAGTTAACAAGACAGATACAACTCCTGAGCTCATTCAGCTTAGCATTCAGCAGAGGAGATGGAGCTTAAATGAAGAATTACACACTTAAGTATATAATTGCAGGTGTGGTAGAATGACCCCCAAAGTTGCTTCAAATCAAAGATTTATGATTCAGGGCTGGTCGAATGGCACGTTGGTTAAGAGCTGGCTTGGGATGCCAGAGGGTCCCGGTTCGGATCCCACATATGAGGGCCAGTGACACTGCCCTCTACAGCTAAGATGCTGAACAACAGCTCGACCTGGAGCTGGGCTGTGGTGGGTTGCAGGCGACGGTGTAGGCTGCAGTCCCCTGCTGCAGTGGGCTGCCATAAGCTACCATGTGTAGCCGGCAGCCAGTGTGAGTGGCCAGCAGCCGCAGTGAGCAGCTGTTCAGAAGCCAGCGACTGATCTGCCTCGCCTGGGAAGAGCGCAATGATGGTGCCAACTTGGGCCAGTGAAGCAACATCCTCCACAACTAGACTGAAGAACTAAACGACAGCAACTTGTCTGTTCCCCTCCCCCAATTCCCCAATAAAATCTTTAAAAAAAAAGATTTATGATTCAGTATGTGAAATGCTCAGCTTAGTGCCTGGCACATAGTAAGGGTTCAGTAAATGCTACTACCACTGTTATTCCCTAACCGTAGAAGCCCATAGCGATGTTGTTTTCTTCCTCTGAGCTTCTGTGTTATTTATGCCTCTGTATTACTCATTTGCCATTCAGCCACAGTTTTATTATTAAACATTTCTTTATCTTGTGACTACGGTAAACATTGTTTTTCCCAGAAACTACAAAATGACCCTACCAAATGATGCTGAACTGATTTAACTGGTTAAAAACAATTGTTCAAATCCATCCACTTCCTTGCCTATGTTTTGCAAGCCAAGAACACAAATAATAAAAGAATTCCTAACATGCCTACAGCAATTTCCCATCCATCAGCTTAACTGAGCCGAGGGCAGTCAGTGCAGAAACAGGGACTTTTCCCCTTTTTCCAGCTGAGAAGACGAGGGCTCAGAACAGTGAAGTGGTTTTCCCAGTATCTGGGGAGAACATTTTAATCTCCTATTTTCAAGCAGCTTGACTAGAATCCCAGCTGGAAGACACCTGGGGAATCATCTACTTCAATGTTGCCATTTTACAGATGGGAAACCGGCTTGGGAAGGTGCTGGGGCTTGCCAGAGGTCACACAGCTAGTAAGGGGCAGAGCTGATTTAGGACTCAGGGCGCCTGACTCAGAGGCCTATCCTAATTCACCCTTTCCCAACATCCAGGGCACCAGAGCCTGCCACTGACCAACAGGTGCTGTTAATAACTAAGTGGTGTGTGCGGGCGTGGGGGTGGGGAGGATCCTACATGTCACAGGTGAGGCTGGAGGTAAAGGTAGTAACAGGCGATGGTTACAGGACCTGCTGGCAGATAGCAAACCTGAGGATGAACTGGGCCCACAGTTAGCCTCAGCGCTTCCCTTAAATCTCCAGACCCTCTCCATCCTTCATCTCCCGCTTCCCTAGGCCCTACGCCCTTCCTCCCTTTTTGCCTTCTGCATTTTGTGCTCCTGGCGCCTCCTTGTGGTTAAGAGTATCCACTGCAGTCTCGACTGCCGCTGTTCCTGGGAAGACTTACCTCACTTTCTCGAATTGAGAGCCTGATGTTTCATTTGTCGTTCGGTGAGGACAGACGTTCTGAACTGAGAATGGTCCCCTGGGGACATCTGGCTGCGCTGAAATTGCCCATCCCTCATCACTCCTAACAAGGTCCACATGATGTAAGTTTCGAAATGTCCCGATAGGACCGTGCTCAGCATGGCTAATGAAGGATTTCCGCATTTGGCCAAAAGTGGTGGGGTTAGTTAAAACCAAACTGTGTCATTTAAGAGTTATGGCCTTTTAACAAGCTCCCAAGGAATCCATAAAAGGGCCTGGAGAATAGAGGTCCACCTCAGAGATATTGCGGGTTCGGTTCCAGACCACCGCAATAAAGCAGGTTATCGCAATAAAACATGTCGTAATCTTTCTGCTGTGAAGGGTCTTGCCTTCAATTTGTAAAATATGAAACATCTGTCAAGTGCAATAAAATGAAGCACAATGAAACAAGATATGCCAGTAAAACAAGAGGGCTCCCCAAATCGTCAGAACCCATAAGCAAGAACCCTTAGCAGTGGGGACATGCCACTGGTCTTTGATTTTATGGCCCCTTTCTTGTTCTTTCCCTGCTATGGTCTAAGAATACAAGAATTTAGATGATTAAAAAAAACAAAACAGATTAGATCATGGCCTGCTTGCTCTCAGCTTTATGACATCCCATCCCCCAGATGACGAAGTGTAAAATTTTTGCTTGGCCTTTAGGGACCTACAGGATTTGACCCCAACCTTCCTGTCCAATTACTTGCTCCCTACTCTCTGGCACAAGTCCTGGGCTTAGGCTATACCAGTCACCTCTTGGTTAGCTTTGCACTTTTGCTCGCTTTGTTCCCCCTGCAGGTAAAGTCTTCCCCACTCCCATCCTGCTACTCCACCCCTCCATTCTGCTTACAGAACTCAAATCCCTTTTCTAGTGAAGGGAGTAAACTGCAACACTACCTGCCTAGGCACTTTGCTTGCCCTAACTTCAGTGGGTCTGGGACAATAGATAACTGTCCCTTGTTCTCCACAAGACCCTAAACAGGCAGAGGGCAGATCCTGGCTGTTTAACAGCCTAGCGCCTAACCCAGAGCCTGGGATGCAGGGAACCCTTGTAATTATTGGTTATTGAGTGACTGGTGTGTTTATCTTCCTATTTTTTTTTCATCTTCCTCTTTTTTTTTTAATTCAAGTTTTGTTAATTTGAAATATGCCATACTTTCACACTCAAAAAGTACAAAAGGGTAAACAGTCACTGTTCTCTAGCCACCCAATTCCCTTCTATGGAAACAATCAATATGATCAGCTTTTTATAAGCCCTTTTATAAATATGCAAATATACATATTCTTCTCCCTCCTTTTAAAAATAAATGGGCTCATCCTCAAACAGTTTTGCAGTTTTACTTCACTATGCTCATATATACATATTTTAAAAATTTATGTAACCAATTCACTATTGATAACGTGTAGGTTGTTTTCATTCTTTTGTTATTAAAAGCAATGGTGCAGTGAATAATCTTGTAAATTTGTCATGTTCACCTGTGTGAGTCTTTATGTAGGAAGAATTTCTAGAAGTGGAATTGCTAGGTCAATGGTGTGGGTACTTTTAATCTTGATCAGCATTGCCTAATTGTTCTTTATAGTGTGTCCAATTTTATACCCATGAGCAATAGATAGGAATCTATGTCCCCACAGCTTTGCCAATACGTTATCAAACTTTTTGACAAGTTCCATTAAAAAATTATAGATCTCAAGTGTGTGTGTGTGTGTGTGTGTAACAAATTCCTGATCATCCCTTGGATTGAAAATCAGCAAAGCTATCTGGGGGTATTGACAATCTGGAGATTCTAACCCCATGTTCATATGTGTAGGAAATAATTCTTGTTTGATTCTAAGCCTACTTAAGGAATAGGGTTGAAAAATGTCAGGGATAGCCAGCTGCTTTACTAAAGAGATTTTACTTTTGGGGAGCATTTTACATACGTTGGTTTGAGCCAATGGGTACATTCCTGTCTTTTCAAGAATTTAAAGCAGAACCTGTAGGAGATAGCTTGATGAATACATGCTTTGCAGGTTGATGTTTTAGATAAGATTTTGGGTATCTCTTGATTATTTTAGGACAGAGATCGCTATAGAAGTCGGAAAACAGCCTCTGAAGTCTGCTGTATAGTCGTGTTGTGGGGCTTAAACGGGATGATGTCTGTGAAACTTTTTGTCACAGTATTTGACACATAAACGGCATTCAATAAATGTAGCTCTAATTAATAAACAACATGTTATATGAGGTAATGGCAAATTAAGGGGCTACTTTGGTGATATAATCTACTCTCTTGGATGTAAGGGCTCTATAGTCTGGTAAATTCCTTTCTTGCAATCATTGGCAGTGACTAACCGCTCTGGCCTGTTTTCTCATCTTCGAGGGGAAGAATACAATCCAAGTCTCAAGGTTTGCCCTGAAGCTTAAATGTGTTAATACTCATAAGTACTTACTACACATTGATTCTCATCTTTCCTCCCAATCTATGTAAGGAGACATCGAACAACCCATCAAGCGACACAGTAACCCCAGGAAATCAGCGGGACCGAGATCAGGAAGTCAAGGGCCAGCCAATTACGGCCGGTGCGCCTCGCGTTGATGGCGAAAGGATCAAGGAGCGAGGACCGACCGCTCAACTCAGTTCGGCTCCAGCAAAACACTCGAGACACCCAGCTCGGGATGCCCTGTCCCTAGGGAGGCCGCAGAAGCCCGGCGAGCACCCTGGCAACATCGCCTTCCGGTCTGCTCTTTCCCCGCCCCCACTTCCGGTTCGGCCGTCTGCGTCATCGCCTGGCGACTTGCTCTGAGTTTCCGGTAAGGGCCGTCGGGGGGTGCGCTCCCGGTGGAGGGCCGGGGTCGCGGGGGTCGCAGGCCCTGACGTCGGCGTTGCCTCCTGCACGCAGGGTTCGGCTCAGCCATGGAGAGCGGCGGGCGGCCCTCGCTGGGCCAGTTCATCCTCCTGGGCACCAGCTCTGTCGTCACCGCCTTCCTGTACTCAGTGTATCGGCAGAAGTCCCAGGTCGTCCGAGAGCTCAAGGTCAGTGCTGGAGCGGGCTTGGCCTCAGCCAGGTCATCACTGCCCCTGGTAACGATGAGCCCACGGTTCTCCTTTGGGCAACTCCACTGGCAAAAATGACCCAAAAGAGGAAACAAGCTCAGAGAAGGCGTCACCCAGCCAGTAAATGGAGGAGCTAGGATCAGAATTCAGTCTCGTGATACCTGCTTCACGGTTCCTTTTCTCCTCAGTCCCTCCCATTACTCAGAATGAATCTTGACTTCCTTACTTTATTGGACAAATATTTATTGAACACCTGCTGCGCGCCAGGCACGGGGAATATCGTATGGGCAGAACAGACTGTAAAGTCCCTGCCCTCATGGAGAGTCCGTTCTGCTGCGTCCAGACAGACAATGAACAAGTAGAGCAGATGGCATGAGAGATGGGGATAAATACTACAGAGTCATGCAGGGAGGAGAGGAAACGGGAAGCTGGAGAAAGAGCGGGTGGTTATTTTAAATAAGGTGACATTTGAACAGAGCCCAGGAGGAGATGAGGGATACTGTGCAGGTGTCTTGGGGAAGTGCAGTTCAGACAGAGGGAACAGCCGGTACAGAAACCCTGGACTCGATCCATTTGTGTAGCTACTCAGCTCCTTGCTTCTACAGGCTCTTCCTCGTTTCATATTTTAGTTATTTTAAAAATAAGACTCGTTGAGCTGCACTTTACAGCTTACATAAGACATTCTCACCGTGTTATTTTTTTCTTCACAGTAATTCTTTGAGGTGGAGAGCATGAAAGTTACCTCCGGGTTGCAAATCAAGAAATTGAGACTGGGAGGAAAGGTCTTACAGCTTAGTGAGGTTGGAACGTAAACTTAGATCTTTTGATTCCAAGGGTAGGATTTTTTTTTTTTTCTGATTGGCCGCATCATGAATGCTTTATTGTGACTGTTTGGCCCACGAGAGATGAACCTCATTTACGTTAGAGACAGGCCCTTATTTATCTTTCTTCATTCCTTTTAGGCTCTAACCCCGTGTTTGACAAGTGGTAGATGCTCAATAAATGTCTGTGGATTTGTTTTGGCTGAAATTTCACAATACAACCATTAGGGGCTTAATTGAACATGTATTTGAAAGCTGGATTCCTGAACCTGCCAACTTCATTATCAGTTTGTTTTCAGTGAGAGCTTAGAAACAAATGTGCGAAGTCCCTGCTGTGAGGGAAATTTTGGACACTGCCTGGACTGAAGCAAGTTACCAAGGAATTTGTGGTGCGAATGGCATCCTAGTGAGATTCCAGCTGCCCTTTTGTTCACCTAATTAAATACCCAAGTAGCTCCTGAAGTGATTGGCTGTGAGTGTAACTGATACTACTTCACTTTCTGACTCCGAAACGCAGAAATTAAGTTGGCGGCAAGTTGGCTGGATGTGGGATTCTTTGAAGCAGTGACCTCTCCAGGACCCATTTTTGGGTGATCTTAAAAGCGTTTCCAGTTAGTTCCTAAATGAGGATGAAATGGCCCCTTCCTGGAAAAAGAGTTGGGACTCCTAATATATTAAATTCTGTTTTCTTGATCAGATTACAGAACTTCCAGAGACGGGTTTGTGTCTTATCCTTGCGTATCTCTCATAGTGATGGGAATGCATATTTATTGCCTACTATGTGCCAGCCTCTGGGCTAATTCTTTCATACCAGGGGTTGGCAGACTTTTGAGACGGAAGAGCCTCCAGGGGTCAGCAAAGTGCAGCTCACCAACTGTGGCTCTGAAGTAAAATAGAAAATGAAAATAAAACTATCATAGTTTCATTTATAAAATGTTTACAGGGTATTATTCACATAATGGTGATTATGTAAAAATATATTTGTGGCTCTTGAATAATTTTTAAATTGTTGTGAGGGACAGGATTGGCTCTTCCAGGGGTTGGCAAACTTTTGAGACAGAATGTACCCAAAGAGCCCCATGTGTCTCGTGAGCCGCAGTTTGCCGACCCCTGTTTCATACTTTAGGGTTCATTTAATCTATATGAAAATTCTGTGATACTGTTCTCGCCATCTTTTACAGTTTTGGAAACTGAGACTAAGATAAATTAAGTTGCTCAGAGTTACAATAGATGCATTCAAGCTTGATTCCGCCCTTGGTATTTCTGCTCAGATTCCTCCTCCTGCCTTTTAAGGAAATTCTAACTGGCCATCATGTGATGGATATGTCACCAGCTATGTGACCTGGGGTGTCATTTCACCTCTCCGAGCTTCAGTTTCCTTATCTCTAATTGGGGATAATACCTACTGTACATTAAATAGATTTATGCATTTAAAGTGTTTAGCGTTTAACAGGCCTGGTATATAGTATATCTAAGTGTTTTTTTATTCAGTAATTTACTCAACAAATACATATTGAGNAATTAGATAGTGTTAACTTATCAATTTTGGATAAGCTTCTGTGTACGATGTCCTGAATTGCTCCCTGGAGTGCTCATTAGTCACTTACCCTGCAGCTGCCTCATTGTTTCCCACATGCCAGCCAAGGGACCTGGCACTTCCCTTCCCCAAGAATGGGGCACGTGAGGCTGAGCCAGTGACACCGGCGTTGGTCAGAGAGGCCTAGTGAAGTAACACGGCCCCTCCGCTCTGGCCTTTCACTGCCGGAGCCATTTACTCACATTAGGCAGCTGAAACCGATTCCTCCAGGATTGGCCCATGACTCTGCAGGGCCACAGCTGAATGCAACAAGCACTTATTAAGCAGTTACAGTGCCGAGCACCTTAGATCTGTAATCTGAATATTCTCTAGGCTGAGGGGAGGGGGGACAAATGAGGTCATACTAATATTAATGTCCAAACTGTCCAAACTGCAGGCTTCTGACCCCCTCAGTCTTTCCTAATATTTAAGGTGCTTCATAGGGTGGGGCTATATACATGCTTGCAATAAATTGGCTCATAATCTTTATTTCTTCCCACTCCTTCCCCACCCACTCCCACCGGTGGCTGAGACTGGTGATGGGATCCCTCCTAATGCTGCATTCTCCACTATGACCTCCAGATGGCGCTATGCCCCTATGGTTGAGTCAGGCTGGAGGACTTGAAGGAGAAACTGAGGTTGTGTTTTTGGAAGGCCTGTGCAATGTTCTCTTCCCTGAGGGTTAGGGAACAGGCCTCCAAGGGGTGAGAGCAGAGCCTGAGGAGGACCCTTGGCTGCTAATCCCAGGTCCAGCTGGGTGCAACCTGGAAAGGGGAGAAGCAGGAAGCAGGAATTTTCTCTCCAGTGCCTTTCTCTGCCCAACTCACCAGGAAGCTGGGTGCAGATGTGAAAGTTTTGAGAAACCCAGAAAATACANTAAAATACCCAAATGACTTCACGCTGGTAAAGGGTGCTTAAAAAAACTGTACGGCATAGATTTTGCTTTTCTCCCCAGAAACTTGTTCTCAGGGGTGAAATCCTGGCTCTCCCAGCCTGGCCTGCGTTCGTTGTTCTCGTCTCTTTCGTCCTGTCTTTTGCACTCTCTCCTATGGGCCAAGCTCCTTGGCCCCTTCTCTGCTGCCTCTTGGAGGAGACAGAACTGTCAACTGCTTTTCTTGGCAGTTCTTTCTCTTGTCTACCCCATGTGTCTCTTGCCTCTGAGTGTGTGAAAGAGTTTCTTCCTCTGCATGTGGATCTGTCTTTCTCTCCGACGCTATTCTATCTGCTTCTGTCTATTTCTGTGAGTCTGTCTCTCCTCGCATCTTTCTCACCCGTGCCTGACACCTACCCTACCATACCAGATTGCCCTCTTCCTCATCCCCTGCTCAGCCCAGGGCCTGGCAGGGGAGGGTGGGGAGGGCCTCTGTGGCCATGCTGTGGCTGCGCCTCACCCTTCTATTCTTGCTATTACAGAGACAGTTCCTTTGCTGGGAAGAAGAGGTCCTTCTGTCCACCCCTGCAAGTCCTGGAGGGCTTTGGACGGTGGGCCTCGCTGCTTGGAGCTGTCCTCTGCCCTTATCTTGGTAATGCAATTGGCACCTGATCTGATCCCCACAATATCCCTTTGAGGCTGATCTATTACCCCTATTTTATGGCTGAGAGGAATTCTGGCTCAGAGAGGGAAGTGCCTGCCTTCAGGTCACACAGGTTGGAAGGGGTGGAGCTGGGATTGAACTTGGGCTTTCCGATTTACCTTCATTTCATTTGCCCTCCACCAGGTCTAGTGAACAGAGCACCCAGCTGTTGGGAGACCCGGGGTCTCGGTTCTGGCTCTCTCTAGTTGGGCAGCTCATCGTTTTCATCTGGGACTCACTTTCCCCCACTGTACAATGGGAAAGTACCCCTTCTCTGCTCTGCCCACCTCACGGGCTTACCGTGGACATCAAATGACCTCACATCTGTAGGATGGGAAGCAACATCATGTGGGAACTGAAGGGCCCAGAGCCATGCACAGTCCCCTTGNGAGCTCTGAGTGCGGTGTAGGCCTCGCAGAGCTGCCTCTGTCTAGACTCTGGCCTGGTCTTTCTTCCTTGTGCTTACACCCCAGGAAAAAGCTGGCAGGCTGGACATGTCACTTGTGTCCCTTCGCTCTTACTGGCTTGCCTCCTAAATGTGTACATGTGTATGTCAGGACAGAAGAAAGGGAACTCCAGCAGCTGTCTTTTCTCTAAAAGGATAGACTCTGATCAGAATGAAGAGCAGTCACTTGAAGGGACAATTGGATTGGGGGTCGGTTCAGCGGTGATGAAGACGGGGCAGCTTGGCTGCAGCCGCCCTGGTGTCTCCACTGACCTAAAGGGGGGCCGCCAGAGCGGGCCTCCTGCCTTGAGCGTCTGAGGAGTGGGCCTGGTTTTCCCTGCGAAAGGGCTCACCTCCCACAGGAAGCAGTAAGGACCTGCTGCCCCACCTCCCGGCCGCCTCGCCAAGGACAAGCCAGCAGCCAGCAGCCTGAGCACAGAGCCTCTTCTGAGCTCCCTCTCCCCCACTGCAGTTAACATCCCATGGGTGTAATCGCATCATCCCTTGGGACCGGTCACCCCTCACTTCCCCTCTTGAGTTTGTGAGTATAGGAGAAGGGGGGG